TTTCCATAAATGTGAGGAAGTTCCTCTAACACACATAAAACACAAAGCTACAGAAACTAAAAACTGCATTTCACTTACATATATACAATTCATTGTTATGCCATTATACTTTCAATTTTTTCAACTATAAAAGTTTTATTTTTGGAAGTGGCGCTGTGGCTTTAGCAGTAGAACGCTCTCCTTGACTGAAGAGTGCAGGGACAGCGCCCAAGCCCAGAGTTCAAGACCCACAACGGACAAAAAAGTTTTATTTTTAAAATTTACTATTAAGTAGTTGTTTACACTTAAGTTACATTATGAATACAACACATCATTCTCCCCCATTTTAGAGTTACACTTTGGTATTGTACCCTTTTATAGACTTGTTCTTTTATATATGACATGTAAACAGTTTTATAGTGTATTGCCTTCTAGAATTCTGACAATGTGCCCTGTTTTGTTTTTTCTTGCTCCAAAACATTGTATTCTGGTCTATTACTCTGTTTTTTAATCCAAATCTCTGTAGCATCTTTTAAATCAATATTTACAGGAAAACAAAACATGCAATGTATTCTGGTGAAGTTGTGAGCCCCAAAATCCAAGAAAGATGGGAGTGTGACTATGATTCCTAAGGCATGAGTAAAGGATGAGAAGGAAAGGCAAGAAATGAGCATTCAATAATTCCTGCTAATCAAATATTCCTCAGTCCTTGTTTGAGCTCCAAAGGTCTGCCCTACTTCTCTTCCCAATACTACCTCTAGATTTCAAAGATTTCTTTTCAAACACAGAGCTTTATCCCTCTTCTCCTAAAGTAAGCATAAAGTAACAGTTCTCAGGATTCTAAGGAATTCCTTTCACTTAACTAGAAATGATCACTGCAAACAAAAAGATGAAATAAAAAAGGCAAAGATGTTCCAATCCTGTACAGAGACCACTGCCCAATTAAAGGCCCTACCCTGCCCAAGTTTTTCACTTCTTTTAGCCACTGCTTCTTCACCAAGAAAATGGTGTTATCTACTTCCAGGGGTTATATGGATCCATTAGAATACAAAAATAAAGAGACACAGAAGGTAGGTACGAGTGGCTCACACCTGTAATCCTAGCTACTCAGAAAGCTAAGAGGGCCAGTGGAGGCAGGAAAGTCCATGAACCTCTTCAAGTTACCAGAAATCCAGGTAGAATCAAGTGGTAGAATGCTAGCCTTGAGTACAAAAGCTCAGGGACAGTGTTCAGGCCCTGAGTTCAAGCCTCAGGACTGGCACACACAATAAAAAGAGACAGAGGGTTGACTTTAAAGTTCTTTGCACAATAAGCTTTTGCTAATAAAAATTATAGAGAAAAAAATTCACCTCACAAAGCAATATTCAATAAATATTAACTCCCAAGGCTTTTATCCATTGAGATCACTAACTCTCCCAATTTATTGTAACTTCACACTCTCACTAGTATCATCTTGCATAAACAGTGTATTTCAATGAATTCATTTGATTAGCAGCTATTAATATAAAAGTAAATAGAATAACATGCATTAAAATTCACTTAGATTTCCAAGAAACATTCCATTTCTACAGTCTTCTATAGCAATTGGGGAAATCAGTCTCTATCCAAATGTGAATACTGAGTTCTGCCTGTATGTAGATTTATGACAAAATATGTGCCCAGAAAGATAAATACAAAACTTAAAGATACTCTGTACAGTATGTTCACAAATAAAATTAAATTAAATTAAAAAAAAACTTAGATACTCAATACTCTTTCTCTTTATTCCTTTTTTGCCAGTACCAGGGTTTGAACTCTGGGTCTTGAACTTGTTCAACTTGCTCTTGAACCACACCTCCAGCCAGCCATTTTGCAGACTTTTGGAGATGGAGTCTCTGCCTGGGCTGGCTTCAAACTAGATCTCTTGGAGTAGCTAGGATTAGAGGCATGAGCCATCAGCACCTGGCTAAAGATAATTGAAAATCATTTTCCTTTTTTATGGGGGGGGTGGTGGGTGGGAAGAGAGATGGTTGGTACTGGGGTTTGAACTCAGGGCCCTGTGTACAAGGTAGGTATTATACCATTTGAGCCTATGAACACAATTTCTTCTTAAGTACTAGTGTCCTATGTTCTCCAAGTGTCCCTTTCTCTGCTGCCTGTATTTAAGCCTAAGTAAAAATTATCTTCTCTTTCCTCAAAACCAATTGTTTAACTAGTCTTGGAACTCCATTTGGCCTTTCCACCATTTTTTAAAAAATTTCCACACACAAATGATAGGGTCCTTTCAACACATAAATCAGGGTACCTCCCTCTCCCCCCCGCAACCTATACTGAAAACTCCTTAATGTCTTCTCATTACCCTTGGAGATAAGATTTAAAATAGTTAGTATAAGGCCCTCCAAACCTACTACATTTGGTAATGTACTCCACTGTCTGGCAGGTAGGCAGTTCTACAGAAACTGTTCTGAACTAAACAGAACCCTAGCTGCATTCTGGAAAGGACTGGAGAAGCTGATAAAAGTGCTTCTCACTGTTAAAAACTGAGAAAGTGACCCTTCAGTAGTCTCCTGGAACAGCTAGCTGAACCAAAATTACATTTTCTCCTGCATATTCAAGGCTTATAAATCTAGCCCTAATCCTCCTCAGGGCCAAAATTGCCTAACTTGTCTGCCCCTTTCCTTGCTTGTCACTTGGATTCTTGGTGAATTCTTTCACTCCCTGTGAACCAAATATAGCCCTTCAGCCCTAATGCTCAATACTGTGTATATATCATGTTTTGTATAACATGTTTTGTCCTACCTGTCCACTGCATCTCCCTACCTTGTTTCCTTGCTCACCAGCTGCACTTCTCTTTCCCTAGTTACTCAAAGTACTCAGTCAACAGAATAAGTACCTCATCTTTTTTTTTGGAGGGGGGGTCCGGTCGTGGGGCCTGAACTCTGGGCCTGGGTGCTGTCCCTCAGCTCTTCAGCTCAAGGCTAGTGCTCTACCACTTGAGCCACAGCACCACTTCCGGCTTTTTTCTTTTTGCTTATGTGGTGCTGAGGAATCAAACCCAGGGTCTCATGCATGCAAGGGAAGCGCTCTACCACTGAGCGACCTTCCCAGCCCCAAGTACCTCATCTTCTGCAGGACTACCTTTGATCCCCTTAACTACATTAGCGATAACCCACAGACTATCACTTACCTAACAGAACATCCACTACCCTTTGTTATACCTGTTGATCTGTGCTACTGTCTCTCTCTCTCTCTCTGATAAGATTCCAGGGTATGAATAAAGAGGCCACGTTTTTCATGTTCAACACTGTGTATCAGGCACAAGTTCAACCCTAGCAAAGACTAAGTAGTTCAGCACTGGAAGCAATAGTCTGAATGAGTAAACTTGTAATAGCTATCTTTCCATCAGGAAAGATATTGCTTCACACACACAACTAGATCTCTCCGAATAAGCTAACTGCTTCATCAATGCCCAGGACAGCAAACGAGTACCCTAAGAATTTTCGCCCGCCCTGTGAATAACTGTCCTTTACGGTTTCTCATATCAGGAAAACTTCGGCACCACTCTCCCACGAATGGCTTTGGAGGCTGAGCGAGGGACGACAGCTGTGCACACAAGACCTTAAAGGCGTCCTCGGACTGAAACCAGAAAGAGTTCCGGGCCGGGGTGAAAGACAAAAGTTGGGAGGATCCCCCCTCCTCCGCCCCCCACGTACCAAGGGAGATGGCGTTGCCTCTGCGCTGTTCCGCCCGCCTTCGGCCCAAGCCTGGCGAGGACGGCGAGACCCTGAACTGCACCCGGGCGTCCCTGGGGTCGAAGATGCGCCTCTGCCTGCGGGGAAAGCGCCGGGAGTCCGAGGCAACCGACGCAGCAGCTCCCGCGGCAGCCCAGCGAGGTCGCTTGGTGCAGGGCTCACAGCCGGGGCCCGCACTCATGCTGGGACCCGCGGCGTGCAGCCCCCGGGCCGGCCCGGGCGGAGAACCGCATTCACTGCCCCTACCGGGACGGACGGCGCCTCCTTCCCGGCGCCTCCCCGCACCATTCCTCCCGGCCGCAGCCCGCTTCCGCGATGGCTGACCCTCGGGCCTGCGACTCAGGCCCTTCCCGGTTCGGCCGCTCGCCTTCCCTCCTTCGCAGGGAGCTGACACGCCTCACGACGTCCCGGTCAGGGCCCGGCGCCGGCTTCGCCCCTTTCCCACCGCCGGAAAGCCACCACCGGAAAGCCGTCGCCGAGCGCCCGCCCCGACTTCCGGAGTGCGCTGCCGCAAAACGGAAGTAGGTTACTTGACGGTGCGACGCCCGGAAGGTCACCGTGCGACGAAGGCGGCGGTAACGCGGGTTCTCCCGCGGTCACCGAGGAGCGACGGCCAAGGCCGCGACCGGGGGAGTGAGGCGGCGGCTTGTAGCAGACGGCGCGACACCATGGAGGGTGGCGGGGGAAGTGGCAACAAGACCACCGGAGGGCTGGCCGGCTTCTTTGGAGCCAGTGGGGCCGGCTACTCGCACGCGGATTTGGCCGGCGTGCCGCGTAAGTACGGGGCCTGTCCTACCCACGAGGCCCCGCCACCGCGCCGGACGGCGGCGTCCCAGCGTCTTTCGTGGCGGCACCGTGGAGTCCCCACCAGTGGTGGGGTTTGTGTATCAGCGCGACCACTCTAGGATTGGACTAATTCTGGGGTTGGAGATCCTCGGGAAACTGCTTACTCTGGACTCTTGGTGGGAGGCGATGCGTGCTTTCCTAAATTTAGATTTAGAGCTCCCTTACTTTTAATCACACTCAGTTTTGTGCTTGACTCTAAGAGTCCAGAGATGGAAAGCCCATCTCTGCAGTTAAACATTCGAATTTGCTAGCAAGTCCCCACCTCCAGCACAAATCCCAGAGTATTATTCGGACAAACGGTTAAAAAAAAAGCATAGAGGCAGCAAATAATTGTTATTTGGGATAGGCGAGGAAACCATCTGAAGGGACTGGTACCCGAACTGAACCTTGAAGTGAAGAAGGAACCTTGAAGTGAAGGGGAAAATACAGGAGTTAGGATGCAAAGACGTGAACGCCCTGATTATGCTCTCCTCAACCTTGTGTTTATTTCAGATTTGGGAGGTTTGGTATGTGTGATCCAGAGAACTTGGATTTAAAGATGACAGAAGTTGATGGTGGAAAGATAGTTTCCTCAGCAAAAATTTTATTTTTTGAAAACCCTTATTTAACTATGTCCTGTATATTCAACAGCCGAAAGAGTGCACTTTCATTTCCCTCATGTCCCACTTGTGTCAAAACTTAGTCTAGAAGTATTGGAATAAAGATTGTTAACTGTGACTTGATGCTCAGATTTTGGTAACAATAGCTGTGATATAGGTAACAATTGAAAATAGAGTAGAACTTTGAAATGATTCGTCATAGGCAGTGCATTCATTTGTGAATCAAGATACAGAAAGACCCAAAGGTTAAAAAGTGTGTTAGAAGACATTAGTTGTACAAGGAGAGTTTCATTGTGACATTTCTACACGTATACAATTTATCCCAATCAAACTCAACCTCTCTACCATTCTCTCTTACCGTATTTCCCCCCTTCTTAAAACACTTTGTTTGTGCCTGTCCTGAGGTTTGAATTTATCATGGCTAAGACTCTACCACTTTGCGCCACGTCTCCATTTCCAACTTTATTTTTTGGAACTTTTTTTTTTTTTTTTTGGTCAGTCGTGGGGCTTTAACTCTGGGCCTAAGTGTTGTCCCTAAGCTCTTCAGCTCAAGGTTAAAGCTCTACTACTTGAGCCATAGAGCTTCTTCTGTTTTTCTGGTGGTTAATTGGAGATAAGAGTCTCACGAACTTTCCTGCCTGGGCTGGTTTTGAACTATGATCCTCAGATCTCAGCCTCCTGAGTAGCTGGGGTTACAGGTGTGAGCCACCGATGCTCCAGCTTGCACATTTTTTAAAAATAATTCAAAGTTGGTTTCAATTTAGCCCTGGTTTGCATTTTCTCTTTCACTAACCCCAAAACTTCTGGTTTGAAAAAACATGAATTTGGGCCGGGAAGGTGGCTCAGTGGTAGAGTGCTTGCCTTGCATGCCTGAGGCCCTGGGTTCAATTCCTCAGCACCACATAAGCAAAAAGAAAAAAGCCGGAAGTGGCGCCGTGGCTCAAGTGGTAGAGCGCTATCCTTGAGCTGAAGAGCTGAGGGACAGCGCCCAGGCCCAGAGTTCAGGCCCCACGACCGGACCCAAAAAAAAACAAAAACAAAAAAAACAACATGAATTTAATACCTTGTAGTAGTAAATTGAATTTTTTTTGTTGTTGGTTGTGGGGCTTGAACTCTGAGCCTGAGTGGTGTCCTTCAGCCCTTTAGCTCAAGGCTAGCGCTCTACTTCTTGAGCCACAGTGCCACTTCCAGTTTTTGGTTTTTGGGTTTTTTTTTAGTGGTTAATTAAAGATGAGTCTCATGGGGACTTTGCTGCTGGCGCTGGCTTTGAACCAAGATCCTCAGATCTCAGCCTCCTGAGTAGCTAGGACTACAGGCATGAGCCACCATCACCCAGCCTGACTTAAAAATTTTGGAAGAACTGCATTGAACATTGTAAAAGTCAGAAACCCAACTTCTGTTTTTCTCTAGAGGTTAAATCATTTTCTGTTGTTTCCATAGTTTCTTACATAATATGAAAGAAACTAGCTTTATAATTTTCCCAAGCTATATGTTCTACTACTTTGTTGATTTGATTTATGTTACTGTTAATACATTGTGAAAGCATAGGCAACCAGTCATTCCTGACCTGAAATTGAGGACCCCCACCAACAGGTAGCCCCCAAACTCACAGGAAGGAGAAAACGAGATAATTTTCCACACTATATACCATAATTTTTGTTGTTAATAATGACCAGAGTAAAACAGGCTCTAGTAAGTAGTTGGTTATCAGTAGTAGGAAGATAACTGTAGTTGAAATTCTTCATATATGACAGTAGAACAGTAAAACCAATTGAAATTGTTTTAACAAGGAGAAAATGGAGATAAGATGGTAAAGTTGGTTGGGTACAATGTAGATATGTGTAGAAATGTCACAGTGCAAGTACAACTAATGTGTACTAATATATAGTTTTTCAATTTCAGAATTTGTGTATTAGGAGTTACATTAAATTCTTTATGTTGAAATGTAATATTTTGTTTTCTTTTTAGTAACTGGTATGAACCCTCTATCTCCTTATTTAAATGTGGATCCACGATATCTGGTGCAGGTAAGATTAAAATTTTATTGGTTTGGTGATTTTAACTTTTTTAAAAGTTCACACCTGAAACTAGCAACTTACCCTATAATCTTAGCTGGTTGGGGCTGAGATCTGGGTGATCAAGTGGTCCAAGGTCAGCCTCAGCTGAAAAGTCTGCTAGTCTCCATCTCCAGAGTATACCAACAAAAGAATGAGGGCTGGAAATCTGATTCAAATGGTAGATAGAATACCAACTAGCAAGTGTGAAGCCCTGATTTCAAACCCCAGTACTTAACACCAACTACAATAACCCCCCCCCAAAAAAAAACAAACAAACCCTCTGAATTACCTAAAGCCAACTTGAACTGTGACAGGCACTTCTAGAGCACTAAGTCTCTGGTCTCCAGTCACCTTAGGCAGTTGGCTTACATCTTTCTCTGAAGCCATTTAACTTTTCTTAAGAAATTTGCTTTAACAGTACGAAATAATGAAAAAGCCAGTGCTTGTGGCTCAGGCATGTTCTCCTAGCTATTCAGGAGCTTGAGATGAGGATATCAATTCAAAGCCAGGCCAGCAGAAAAGTGTGAGACTTAATCTCTAATCAGCCACCAAAAATTGGAAGTGGAGCTATGGCTCAAAGTAATAGAGTGCTAGTCTTGAGCAAAAAAAACAGTTCAAGGACAATACTCATGGCCTGAGTTCGAGCCCCAGGACTGGCACCAAACAACAACAAAAATAATGAAAAGCACTTCATCTTAGCTGAGATCTGAGAATCATGGTTTGGAACCAAGCTGGGCAGACCAAATTGAAAGACTCTTACCTAGTTAGCTAACAAAAAACTATAAGTGGACCTCTGGCTCAAAAAATACAATTGTGCAAAATTCTGAATTCAAGCTGGAAAAAGAGAAGGGGAGAAGGATCTCTGTAAAAGTAAACTTTATTCTTTAAAAAACTTTAAAAAGCTCAGTTTGCAATATAGCATATGGGACTAAATGTCAAACCTTTAAAAGATTAATGGTTGGACATCTCAGGAGAGCAATGTTGATTTAACATCTGAAAAATCAATGTTCTATAACTTACAAGAATATAATATAGCAGTAAAGAATATAGAACAATAAAATGATTCAGTAGATGCATTAAAAGCATTTGAGTAACATCCCTTCATGATTAAAAAACACATGCAAACTAGGTATAAAAAGAAACTTCTTCAAGCTGGGCACTGGTGGCTCATGCCTGTGATTCTAGCTGAGATCAGAGGATTGCAGTTCAAAGCCAGTCTAAACAAAAAGGTCTGTGAGACTTTTAGGTCGAATTAACCACCCCAAAACCATAAGTAAGGTTATACCTAAAGGGGTAGAATGCTAAGCTAGCTAACCTTGAGCAAAAAAGGTCAGGGACATAACCTAGACCCTGAGCCTGTCCCTGAGCTTTTTCTGCTCAAGGCTAGCACTTTACCATTTGAGCCACAGTGCCACTTCTGGCCTTTACTGAGTACTTTATTGGAGGTGAGAGTTTCACAGACTTTCTTTCCTGAGCTGGCTTCAAATCGCATTCCTCAGATCTCAGCCTCCTGAGTAGCTGGGATTATAAGCATGAGCCCCCAAAACCCTGTTCTAATAAAGGATTTTTATCTGTAACAATTTTTTGTTTGTTTTTTATAATACTGGGTTTTAAGCTCAGGCACCTCCATTTGCTAGGCAGACACTATAACTTAAGCCAAGTCTCTAGTCCTTTTTGCTTTCATTATTGTTCTAATAGGCTAGCTTTTGCTGAGACTGGCCTGAACTACAATCTTTTTATTCATGCTTCCTGAATAGCTGGGATGACAGGCACATATCACCACATCCAGCTTTTTATTCACTAAGATAAGGTCCATTTTTTGCCCTGGCTGTCATCAAACCACTGTCTGCTGATCTGGGTCACTCTAGAAAACTCTTAAAAAATGATGTTTTAACTATTTTTTAACTTAATTAATAGTAACAATCCACTTATATCAATGGGTCTAAATATTCTCCATAAAAATATATAAGTGGTGTCATGAAGTTAAGAAATGCAAATCACAAAAACACAAAGAGATAATTACTATAATCAAAACCACAGAAGCAAGTATTGGTGAGGATATGGAGAATTTAGGGCATTTCTGGTAGGAGTGTAAATTGATACAGCTGCTTTGGAAAGAGTCTGGCACTTCCTCAAAATGTTAAAAATAGTATGACCTGACAGTTGTACCCTTACATAAACACCAAGACAATCAAAAACATTCAGCTGGGAGCTGGTAACTCATGCCTGTAATCCTAACTACTCAAGAAGCTGAGATCTTAGGAAAGAAACTCCATGAGAATCTTACTTCTAGTTAACCACAACACACTGGAAGTGGAGCTGTGGCTCAAGTGGTAGAGCTGCAACCTTGAGGAAGAAAGTAAAGGACAGTGCCCAGGCCCTGAGTTCAAGCCCAAGAACCAGCACAAAACGTAAAGTTAATAAGTAAATAAAAACATGTTCCTGGGCTGGGAAAGTGGCTCAGTGGTAGAGTGCTTGCTTTGCATTCATGAGGCCCTGGGTTCAATTCCTCAGCACCACATAAGCAGAAAAAGCCGGAAGTGGAGCTATGACTCAAGTGGTAGAGCACTAGCCTTGAGCTGAAGAGCTGAGGGACTGCGCCAAGCCCAAAGTTCAGGACCGACCATATCCATATAAGTTGTACATGACTGTTGGTAACACTATTCATAATAGCCAAAAAGCAGAAGCAAACCAAATATTAGTTCATGAATGGATGAACAAAATGTAACAAATGTAGGATCTCACAATAAAAAAAAGAATGAATTACTGATAATGTGTCAACATGGATGAACCTTGAGAACTTGCTGAATCAAATTAGTCTCATCACAAATTGTATTTCATTTACATGAAATCTTCACAGGGACTGGGAGGGTGGCTCAGTGGTAGAGAGCTTCCCTTACATGCATGAGGCCCTGGGTTCGATTCCTAAAAACCACATAAGCAGAAAAAGAAAAAGGCCGGAAGTGGCACTGTTGCTCAAGTGGTAGAGTGCTAGCCTTGAACTGAAGAGCTGAGGGACAGCGTCAGGCCCAGAGTTTAGATCCCATGACCGGACCCCCCCAAAAAAAAAAAAAAAGAAAAAGAAATCTTCACAGATGAAGCAAATATATAAATGTAGATTAGTAGCTATGTGGAGTTGGGCAGGATAGAAGGAGTGACTCATGGCTTCAGGGTTCTTTTTGTAATGATAAAATGCTCTGAAATCAGTTGTGGTCTTTTTTGTGCAGCTATGATTATACTACAGACCATTGACTTGATGCTAAATAATGTGGTACTTGAGTTAGGCTATTAGTAACTGTTTATTTGTGCATGTATATATGCATTTAGGCATTCATTGCATTTAGGTGCTGGTGGCTCACACCTGTAATTGTAGCTACTCAGAAGGTAGGCTCAGAATCTCAGTTTGAAGCCAGGCTGGGAAGGAAATTCCATGAGACTTTATCTCCAGTTAACCGCCTAAAAGCCAGAAATACAGGTGTGGCTCAAGTGGTAGAGCACCAATGTTGAGTGGAAAAAGCCATCAAGAACATGAGGTCCTGAGTTCAAGCCCTAGTATTGGTGCATGGGTGCACAGTATTAAGGTACAGACCTCGCTGGTTTGGTTTGGTTTTGTTAAGAGTAAGAGCTTGTGTTTTTTTTTTTTGTTTGTTTTTTTAATTTTATTTTATTTGTGAACATGCTGTACAGAGGAGTTACAATTACATGGGCAGGATAATGCATACATTTCTTACCAAGCATTGCAGCCTCCTCCTTTGTTTACCCTTCACATCCCTTCCCAGCCTCCCCCCTCCCCCCCATAAGAGTAAGAGCTTGTTTGGGTTAATTTTTCATATAAATAAAATTGACGTTTAAGACTCTGATGTTTCCCCCTTTTTTTTTTGGCAGTAAATGTTAACTTTTAGCACTGAGTACTCTTATTTTAAAAGTAACTCAAATTGGCAAAAAAAAAAAAAGTATTTTGCTTAAATGTTAAATCCAAACTTAGAGGTTATATTCAACTATGATAACAGTACCAAATTATAGTTCTGAATTACTACATAGGGCTTACTAATATTAGGTATAAAAGAAAATTCAGAAATAAAGTGTGAATTCCTATTTCATGAAATACTGTTCTCTTCCGTTGTAATAGTAGAGGGACTTCAGAATTTAAATAGTTTTCTAAATTGTTTCTACTGTTAAAAGTAATGATGGAAAGCTTTTATACAGAGACAGTAACTTAAACGTTGTACCTTACAAAATATTTTTCAATACTTTTTGTTGTTGTTCAAGCCCTGGGACTTGAACTCAGAGCCTAGATGATGTCCTTGAACTTTTTGGCTAGTACTCCACCACTTCATCAGCCCCCTGAGTGGCTAGGATTATAGGTGTGATCCAGCAGTGCCTAGCAACTTTTCCATACTTATTTTTCTTTTTTCTTGTTGGTTGGTTATGGGGCTTGAGCTCTGGGCCTGGGCGCTGGCCCTGCATTGTTCAGCTCAAGACAAGCTCTCTACCGCTTGAGCCACATCACTACTTCCAGTTTTCTGGTGGCTAATTGGAGATAAGAGTCTCACAGACTTTCCTGCCTGGGCTGACTTTGAACTGCAGTCCTCAGATCTCAGCCTCCTGAGTAGCTAGGATTACATGTAGGCATGAGCCACTGGCACTGGGCCTTTTTCCATACTTTTGAAGATGGGAAACATCTTGACTGGAAACTATTAACTCACCATAGTTATTTTGGCAACAGTTTTCATCTGAGTCACTATTTGTGTTTTCTCCTACTCCTGCTTTTGTGTTGTCACTACTATTAAAAATGCTGTAATTTTTTAAATTACATTAAATGTATAAATTTTCCTTCTGTTTGCCCAAGTGAATATCTAGTAGTGAAGACAAACAGAATTGAAATATTTCCAACATCTACAGTGTCCATATGAAATTATTTGGAAGTATATGGGCCAGTGGTATAGTGTTTGCCTAGCATGTGCCCTAGGGACAGTACCCAACAGTAAAAAAAACAAAATACTAAAGGGATAATTTGTCTTATAAGACTGATCCAAAATGTTGCTTTAATGATTTTTCCTCACGTTTTCATCATCATTTGGTCTTAATATATAGTAACACAGTGTTAGTGAATAGTTGCTAATGAATTAAGGCTATTTTTCTCATCCCAGGATAATATATCTATCTGCTGATACTTCTAATTTTCATTCTTCATTTCTTTAGAATTGTGCTTTCTATATTCTCTTGTACTGTTGCTTCAAATTTACCATTAGAGCAGGTTACCTGTAATCTTATCAGATAATAGTATGAATTATCTGAATTAGAAGAATCCCTTCTAAGACTTTAAATGGTTTTATTTCACTTTTAGATGTTTCTGTTGTATAGTTTTGTTTTTGGCTCAATAAGGTAGTTTAGGATTTTAGTTTGTTGAAAAACTACTTTGAAAAGTTAAAAAATTCAGGGCTGTGGTGACTCAGACCTATAAATTCTAGTTTACTTAGGAGACTGACACTGGAAGGATAGTGGTTCAAAGCCAGCCCAGGCAAAAAAGTTCAAAAAATTCCTTCTCAATAAAGAACTGGGCTCAGCGGTGCCTGTTACCTTAGCTGTGGGGGAAGTCCAACATAGACAGCTGGCACCTACACACAAGACCTGGAGAGGAATGATAGCATATCACAAAAACAATCATGAAAACTTAGGACTGAAGGTGTGGCTCAGGAGGAAGAAGTGCGAAGACTAGTTCAAACTCAATACTGCTAAAACCATAATAGTAATAAAACAGTTTAAAATTTTAGGAGGCTGGGGCAGAAAGACACAAGATTGAGATCAGCCTAGTCTACATAGCAAGACTTTTCTCAAAATTTAAAATAAGGTGGGGAAAAGAAAAGAAGACAAAAGGAAGGAGAGAGACCAGGGTTGGTTCCTCAAGCTGATAATCCCAGCTATTTAGGAGTTGGAGATCTGGAGGATTGGGGGTTAGAAACAAAGCTAAGCACAAAGTTCAAAAGACTCCATCTCAACCAATGGCTGCACTCAGCTAAAGAGAGTCTGAGCACGAAGAAGATTGATTTTAGTAGCCCTGGCATGAAGTCAGATCCAAAATAACACCAAAAGGTCTGGTAAAGTGGCTCAAGGGGAATAGTGCCTGCCTAGCAAGTGCAAAGCCATGAGTTCAAGGGAAAGGGAAGGAAGGAGGTTGGCTGATTGCTTTAAGAACACTTTTTATATTTTATAAGTATATGTCTTAATATTTAGCTTGGTTTTCATTGCTACCCCATAGGACACCGATGAGTTTATTTTACCTACTGGAGCCAATAAAACCCGGGGCAGATTTGAACTAGCCTTCTTTACTATTGGAGGATGTTGCATGACAGGTGGGTAAATACTTTTTTTTTCAGATTGCTTTTTATCCAAATTTGTATCCAAATTTAAAATGAAAATCTGAATATTGGTTTGATGTGTCTTTTATAAAAAAATAAATTTTAAAGGTAATTATTTACTTTTATCTTTTATGTTAAATAAGAATGAAATTTAATCAGAAGTACAGCTTCCTTCTAAAGATAAATATGTATTATTTGGATGAATTATTGTAATTCACTAGGGGCTGCATTTGGAGCAGTGAATGGTCTTCGTCTAGGATTGAAGGAAACCCAGAACATGGCCTGGTCCAAACCAAGAAACGTACAGTAAGTTTTCTGTAATTGTCTGGTGTAAGGATGCTTGAACATTAACCTCTCTTTTGTTAATGTGATGGGTATAGTTAAACCTACAAAGTTTAAGGAACTAGTACTTTCCTTTTTCCTTTCTTCGGGGTTTCAGTTATTTCTAAAGTAAAAGTAACCAAGAAATCAGATTACTGAATCTTAGCTTTGAAAAGGAGTAGTTTTCTTGTCACTGTCCCTCAGTCAGCTGGTGTTATCCTGTCCTAGGTTCTCAGCTGCATGTGTTGCATTTCTAAGCCTGTATGACATGCTTTCCTAATGGCTGAATTACAGAAAATCTGGATTGTTCTGGGGCTGACAAAGCCAGAGGAATAGATGATGACAAAGAAGAATGGCTACATCTGTCATGTTTCCCTGAACTTCTTGACTTCATTTTCTAATTCTGAAATGAGGAGCCACAAAAGCTTTAGATTTTAAAAAAACCTTAAAACTTAGAGACTGTTCTAAAAGAAGGTAAATGTCCTTTCTCAGGATTTGAAGTTTGCAGTAAAGTTTTGAAAATACAATTATAAGAATCAGAAAGTGGCCGGATGTTGGTGGTTCACACCTGTAATCCTAGCTACTCAGGCTAAGACCTGAGGGTCACAGTTCAAAACTAGCCCCGGCAGAAACATCTGTGAGACTCTTATCTCCAGTGAACCATCAGAAAACTGGAAGTGGTACTGTCGCTCAAGTGGTAGAGTGTTAGCCTTGAGCTGAAGAGCTGAGGGACAGTGCCCAGGCTGACCGACAAAAAAGAAAAAAATTAGAATGTGAATAGAAACAAGGATTTTTTTCTTTTTTGTTTTGTTTTTTCTTTTTGTCTTGTTTGTTCGTTTACCTGCCTTTCAGAGGGAAAAGGAGGGCAAAGAAATGGAGAGACAGAGTGAACAAATGAAGCAGTGGTACACACTAGACACTGTTGAAAATGAACCATGCAACTTATGGATGGGGACAGAAGGGAAAAATTGGAAGAGAGCAAGGGAAAGGGTGACTTTGTCCAGAAAGAAATATATTCTTTACCTGACTTATGTGAGTGTAACCCCTCTATACTCACCTTTATAATAACAATTTTTAAAAAGAATCAGAAGGTTGTAAGCTCGGTGAAAATGATGAAAAGGGGTGACACTGACATGTTGAATCAAAACTGCTTTGTACAACTACTGAAAGATAAGAAAAGTAAGAAAGTATATATAATATGTTCGCTGCTTAATATATCAGCTTGACAGTCCCTATTGATACTGTGTAAATAATATATTGGTCTGCTCTGCACATTTTTATGTTTTATGTAATTGGAGTGTCTATTCTTTGCTGGCTTGATTTTGTTTTAGGACACTAAAATCTGTCTTCCTCACAGATTTACAGCCAGTAGGTGGCAGCAGATGTGCTAGAATTAGACTGGGAAATTTGAAAACTTGTGTTACTAACCCAAATCATTTATTATTTTTATGTTTATATATTTTTTAGTAGAATATGGAGTTTTTGCAGGCTACAGCCTACAAATACACATAACACAGCTAGGAAACAGGTTAGAGAGGAAAGAAAAAGCAAAAACAATACCAACAGCTATGGAGAGCTGAATTGGGATGCTGTGATGACTGGAGATAAGCCAGGAGACAAGACACGGGAAATGATCATGGAGACACATGTGGCATGGCTGATGGTAGCTAGGCTGGTCTGGGCCTAAATAGGGTCCGAGCAGGAGGGTAGATCCATAGGAAATTCCCAGACCAGCACTGGACTGACAGATTCAGTAACCTGTCAGCCAATTTCCCACCCCTGTCTCCTGGGCACACCCATCACCTGAGAGGCAGGTGATGGTAGGGGTGTTTCCTTCACCCAGCATGAAGACAAGATGGCAGACCCTACCATCTACCATGTGGCCAATATGGCACTAGCCAGACCTGACCTCCTTACTTCATTCCCCCTTTTACTCTAATGCGCATGAAATCAAATCATGGATTCCTCTGTAAGAGGGCCAAACTTTTGCCTGGATTGTTTGTTTATATTCTTAACATTTGTCCTTTGTTCCAATAATTTTTGTTGTTGTGGTTGGTGGTCGTGGGGCTTGAACTCTGGGCCTGGGTGCTGTCCCTCAGCTCTTCAGCTCAAGGCAAGCGCTCTACCATTTGAGCCACAGCATCACTTCCAAATAATTCTTTTTTTTTACTTTTGTACTTGGAATTTTGAATCTTTACAAAAGTAGACAAAAAGTAATGAATACCTATGAACCATAACTTACCTTCAAAAACATATCAGTCATAACTAGTGTGTTTCTCCTGTGTTATTTTGAAACAAACTCAACATTTTGTTTAATGTAGCATAATTAGTATACTATGTAAATAAGATGATGGAATATATTGATGTGATTAATTTGGACATCGAAAGTCTCTTAGAAAAGACTGTGTGCCCACACAGTACTAGGGCTTGAACTCAGGGCCTCATACTCTCACTTAGCTTTTTTGTTAAAAGCTGGTGCTTCTAAGACTTCATTTTTTTGGGGGGGGGGGTCCGGTCGTGGGGCCTGAACTCTGGGCCTGGGCACTGTCCCTTAGCTCTTTAGCTCAAGGCTAGCACTCTACCACTTAAGCCACAGCGCCACTTCCTTCTTTTTTCTTTTTGCTTATGTGGTGCTGAGGAATTGAACCCAAGGCCTCGAGCATGCAAGGCAAGCGCTCTACCACTGAGCCACCTTCCCAGCCCCTTCATTTCTTTTTTTATTTTTTGTTTTTTATGGTTATTATAAAAGTGATGTACAGAGGGACTACAGTTGCATAAGTCAGTTAAAGAATATATTTCTTCTTGGGCAATGTCACTTCATTTCTTAAAACTAAAAATGGTCATGTAGTCATTCTGATCTCCCTAGATAAGCAGACAGTGTTTAGCAGTGGAAATGCAATAGGATGTAGAGCCAGGAAGATATAAGTGACCTCAAAATCCTAGCATCACTACTTAGTGTTTTCTGTTGTTGAACAGACAGGTAAGGGCTAAATAAATGGAGGCCTGTAGGCTGCCAGATTCCAAAGAATTTTATCAATTTGCAATGCTTTCAGCAATGTAATAAGGAAAATGAATAGCTTTAATGAAAACTAAATCTTAGTACAGAGCTTAAAATATATTAATAGCCAGGTGCCTAGCTCATGCTATAATCCTAGCTACCCAGGAGGCTAAAATCTGAAGGATCACAATTTGAAGCCAGCCCAATCAAGAAAGTCCACTCTTACCTCCAAGTAATTATCAAAAAGCTGCAAGTGGAACTGGGGCTCAAGTGGTAGAGCATCAACTTTGAGCAAAAAAAGCGCTCAGGGACAGTGCTTAAGCCCTGATTTCAAGCCCCAAGACTGGCACAAAAAATAATAATTTGTATATGCATATATGTAATTTTTAAATATTTTAAATATATGTTAATAAATGTGTGGCTTGTTGTTGCCACCTGTCCTGGGGCTTGAACTCTGGACGTGGGCACTGTCACTAAGCTGCTTTTGCTCAGGGCTACCACTCTACCACTAGAGGCACGTGCCACTTCCATCTTTTTTGAGTAGTTTATTGGAGATAAGATGTCTCATGGAGTTTCCTGCCCGGGCTTGCTTTGAAATGTGATTCTCAGATCTCAGACTCCTGAGTAGCTAGGGCATGAGCCACTGGCACCCAGCTTATATGGCATAGTTAATTAAAAAAATACACCATAGTTATTATACTTTGTATGTGTGTGCTTTTTTAGACAGGATATAAAACTTAAACTTTTGACTCTTGTGCCTCAGCTCAACCTTTTGAAAGCTAGAGTTAAAAGGCATTTACCACCACATCCACCTGACATTAGTATTTCTAAACATTTGAGAAACAATACATTGTTGTCACTGTAGAACCTTAACCACTTATTAATGAGTTTTTTTAATCGCTGTAATTGTACTTTGGTCATTTCCAGCAGTAGTCAGCTGTCTGGACAGAACCATTCCTGTGATGGTGTTACACTGCTGGGAGAGCAATGTCTTGTCTTCTTTATCCAGTTGCCTGTGTCATTGTTCTAGTGGCCCATGGTGCTGGTGCAAGGCAGAACTGTGCTTCCTTGAGAGTGTGCTAAGCATTTGCTTTAGATGCTTAGTTCTAGTCTGGGAGCAGACAAAGAGCTTTCTCCATGCATTCTAGTTAGATAGCAATCCTCTGTTCAACTCTTAATAGAACTGCTTTGTATTCTATACTTTGGTTTTCTTCACTCTGATTCTATTTAATACTCTAAATACATCCACTCTGAAGAAGAATATTGTTTTTTCCAATTACAACTTTAAGATTTCTCTATTAAGAATATTTCAGGCTGCTATTCAGAATGTCTAAAAAAATTTTCTTCAATCATTGAAAATTTTATCCTAATCCTCATTTGTATAGAGTAAAAGCCATCCTTATAGAAATCCAAGTAGGTATTAAGATGTATCTGAAAATAGAAAAAAGCTATTAAGGGTTGTTGTAGATTAGTAAGAAGAAAAAATTGTTCTAAATACAAATTCTTTTCTTTCTTTCCTGGTAGGATTTTGAATATGGTAACTAGGCAAGGAGCACTTTGGGCTAATACTTTAGGTTCTCTGGGTAAGTAGAAATCTTATTTGATAAATGATTAGGCAAAGAAAGAATATACAAGTATGAACAATTTGGCCAACCAAATTGTTCTAGGATATGAAACAACTGAGTTTAAATCCATTCTGGTGAGTATAGACCATGAATTAATGAAGTAATCTCAGTGCCATTTCCTTTTGAATACTATTTCTGATTTTTTTTTTTTTTTGCCAGTCATGGAACTTGAACTCGGGGCCTGGGTATTGTCCCTGAGCTTCTTTTGCTCAAGGCCACTTCTGGCTTTTTCTGTGTATGTGGCACAGAAGAATTGAACCCAGGGCTTCATGTATACTAGGCAAGAACTTTACCACTAAGCCATATTCCCAGCCCCCATTTCTAAATGTTTTAAATCCTTTAAACAGTGACTTCTGTCCAAGCAAGAAACGAAATAAAACCATGTTTTAACTAAATGAAATCCAGTTAATTTAGGTCCAAGACAAAGGGCTGTGAATGTTAGGAAAGGTTCAAAGTCCTGTAGTGAGACGTGCTAGATTAGCTGAAGTTCAGACCTTTTGCTCTGTTTTTCAAACAGACTGTTCATCAGTCAGTTTACCTGTGTAGATTTCAAAGACCTAATTACTAGCATAGCAGTAGGGACTTTGTAGATAAAAACATTCAGAGGTCTACACAAGGGGTAATTTAATGGTGCTGAGTCAGACCCGGTGCTTTCATCACATCCTGTTTATAACTAGTCGGTTCTTTTGATTATTGATGACCATAGAAAATATGTCTGCCTATGGCACATATACCCTTACATCCAGACTTTCTGTGCTTAGTATAAACATAATGTCAGGAAATCTTTTCAATTGTAGTACACTGAATAGGGGAAAACTATAGACAACTCTTTAAAAAGAAAACCCTCTTTTGTGATATAGTAAGATCCTAGCCTTGCTGTGGAAGCCATGCTTTTTCACACCATAAAGCCAGGTTTGCATTTTGGATTCTGATGCATGGCTATTTCCATATGACAAAAATTGTATAAGAAGAAGAAAATGGTTTAATGCATTGGTGCCTGATAAGAACCTATAAAGTACAAATGAAAGGTTTATTTGGGTGAAAATCTTGTTAAATGATACTACATCTTGCATTCTTTTTAATTATAGTCTTGTTAAGTAAATATGTAAGCATTTAATGCAAAAAACAAGTATTTATAAAACAGTGACATTTTTAAGTATTCTTTTTAATACTCTACTAGTACTTTGCAGAAATAGCTACTCTTGATATTTCTTCTGAATCTCTGCAGATACGTATAATACGTATATCTTTGCATAGCTAGTTGGATTGGTACTGGTGTACCTGTCTCTGCCTGCTTTACCAAATTGTTAACCAATATAGCCCTACCTGGCTTTTTGTTAAGTGTAGCATTTAGTTTTATGGAAAATCCTTTCTGCCTTAATCCAGGTGTGATACAAATGTTCTTAGTCATTTTATTTGTTGCTAGTTTTTGCTATTTTAGAAACAATGTTATAGTAGTTGCCCTGTAAATGTCTAGCTTAATTTAATTACCATGCTGACTTTTCATAGTTCTTTTGTGACTGGTCACCTATATTTCAGCTTTGCTCTATAGTGCATTTGGTGTTATTATTGAGAAATCACGAGGAGCAGAAGATGACCTGAACACAGTAGCAGCTGGAACTTTGACAGGCATGTTGTACAAATGTACAGGTAGGTGCTGTTACTACTGTGAATGTAAAGCTGAAATGTGTACTGTTCTTGTGGTTACTTGGGGAAGGGAGGGGAGAGTTATGGGAAAATTTTAGGTATTTTTTGGTGTTTTGTTGTTGTTGTTTTTAAGGGGTCATATTTGCTTTGAGATAAGAACTTCCTAGGAAGCCTAGGCCAGCCTCGGCATTCTATATAGTTCACACTGGCCTCCAATTCAATCTTCTGTGTCAGTCTCCCAAGTACTAAAAGTGCGCCATTATGTCCTACTGCAAGTTCCTATTGTTGTACAACCAGTCTCCAGAACCAGTCTCCAGAACCTTTTCACCTTTATATTCTATGCTCATCAAGCAGCTCAGTTCCTCATCGTTTCCATCTTCTCAACTTCTGGCAATCTTGAATTTTCTGTGTCTGAATGTACGTAGGTACCTCATACATGGGAACCATATATTATTTGTCTTTCTGGTGCCTGGTTTATCTTACTTTGCATATCTTAAAGGTTCTTCCATGTTATAGAATGTTCAGAATATCCTTTTTTAAAGGCTGAGTTGTCTTCTTTTGGGGAGAGATTGAGGTCCTGGAGATGGAACTCAGGACCTTGCACTTACTCTGCCATTTGAGCCACACACTAGCTGGTTTTGCTTCAATTATTTATCATATATTGTCTTGTGCTTCTGTCTGGGGTCAGTCTCAGACTGTGATCCTTCCACAAAGCTCCCATGTAGCTGGAATTACAAACATCACCATATCCAGCTTGTTTTTCCTTGGGTCTGGCCTTTAGATTCTCCCAATTCCATAACTGTTTATCAAGTAGTGATAGAAAAAAAGTTGGTTTTGTATGTTAGCTGTTGGGAGTACTAGCTAACATACCTGATTGTGAACCTTCTTTCAATTATTTAGATTGTTGGTTGTTTGATTTAAAACAACATCTTAACTTATTGAAGAGTATTTGCTTAGGATGCATAGAGAAAAAAAGGTAAAACTCTATCCTGTATATTCCATTGATTTTATTTCTTTGTCTTAGACTAAGCAATGAAATATTTTAAATTATAGGTTTTACATCAAGCAAAAATCTGCAGTAATCTGACCTGGGAGATCAGTGTATTAAAAACTTTCACAAAACACACATAGTGTCAAAGCTCCAGGTCAATTTAGAGCATATTATGCCCATGAGAATCTTACTCTACCAGAAGATGAACATTGTGTTGCTATCACGGATAAGTATTGACTAGTTTACAAGTGAATGTCTAAATAATACTAAATTTATTGTAAGTCTATCTTAAAGAGTTCAGTGATGAGTCTTTTGCATACATCCTTTTCATTAGTTAGTTAATTCCCTGTTCCCAAAGAAGTTTGGCACTTTTCACTCTTTACACCTTTATGTCTTCTTTTCCTTCTTTTTTTTTCATTCCAAGATCAAGATTTAAACTCAATATTGGTAGAGCGATAGCCAATGAAAGTGGCAGATGCCAAGTTCGAGTCCTGTCTTGTTGTTTCTTGATTATTATTATTTTTGAATCTGAGATACTGCCTATTGACTTCTCATCAGGAAAACTATTTTTTTTTTTGAATTAGAGATTTTTTTTATTGTGAAAAATACCATACAGAGGGGTTACAATTACACGGGTAAGGTAATGAGTACATTTCCTTTTTTTTTCTTTTTTTAAATTTAATTTTATTAATTTAATTTTTTTTGCATTTCAATAGTTTTATTGAAAGGTACCAAACAACAGTTGGGCAGGTTGCATCTGCCAACTCAAAGTTAACACTGATGTTTTCAAACTGTTGAAATGTATCAGCCCTTTGGTGAAACCGAAAGGTCACCCATAAAGCATGGTCTACAAAAAGTTAAGGTTAACATACACTGTAGGTCTTTGGTTTGTTTCTTCAGCGCTGGTCAGAATTGCTAACGGCCATTCGGGAGGGACTGTGGCTACGTGTACTGTCCATACATTTCCTACGTCTCCTTAGATCCACTGCTGACAGGAGCAACCCTGGCTACTACTACCTCTGCCATCTCGTAATTATGGGGGTGCAGACCGTGCATAAGACACAGAGGTATTTGTGAAAGTAGTCTCTTCATCAGGAAAACTATTAAGTCTTGTTAGAACTATACAAAAAAATGTACTTGATAGAAGAAAGAGGAAGTCTCTCTTTTTACACATTATTTTATTGACAGGTCTGTGAAGAGAATGAAATAAAGGTCACCCTTATTTGGAGCCACACTACTATGACTCCAAACCCCATTTTTATCACCATGTCAAATTACCTCTAAAATGGGAAAATCAGAAATTTTAGAAAAGAAGAAGGGTAATAATAGCTGAACTGGGCCTGAAGGATAGACTGAATTTCATTTGTTACCGTTTGCTTATTTGATGAGTATGTGGGAGAAAAGTCTATGAGAGTTTAGGTTTGAAGCATAGGAGGCTAGGGTGAGAGGTCAAAGGCACTGTCATCAGAGGTGTTAGCCCATGACATACTGGAATCAACCTTGTTAACAAGAAACAATGGATAGATAAGGCAGTTCGGAGGTGGAAGTCTAAAGTAAATGTACTATTAGAGAAGTTAGGGTCTGTGATGGGCCTCAGCTTGGGGGATGTAGACATGCTGATGAAATGAAGAGATGATGAGAGAAAAAGATGAGTCAGAGGTTCAGTGGAAAGCTTGTCTTTGTTTCTTTGTCTCTTTCTGTTTCTCTCTTGAGTTTCTCTGTTCCTCTCTCATCTTCTCTTTTCCTCCCTTCATTCTCTCTTTTGTGGAAGCAGTGTGTGTGACTTTGAACTATACAAGATCTAAGATCTTGGGCTTCCTCATTACTGCCATGTACATCCCATACAGGCTCTTTGAGACAAAATCAGCTGTTGCTTTTAACTCCATAATACAGCGTACATTTAGAACTTCTTTTTTATATTGTTTTCATTTTTTACCAGTGATGCTAAGTCAGTTATTGCAGTTCTGTGGTATGCTAAATGTCTATGGGGATCTTACGAAGTTTTAGAAGGTTCATGAACTCAGAGGGTTGAACACATAAATCTCTAGAAGTTGTAATGGATACTTTCAGGCTTATTTTACTAAGGGGAAATCCTGGTATTTAGCCGGTAAGAACTAGTCCAAAATCCAGGTAATCCCTGTTTTTTACAGTGGCCTGATAAGCTCCCTCTTCTGCAGTATGTGTTCCCTTGTCTTTTATCTCCCCCTTCAGGGCCTTTGATACTTGCTGTTCCCTTTTCTTAGAATGCTCTTTGCAGACAAGTACCTCAACTTGCTACCTCATCTGTCTGTCTCTGTTAAGCTAACAGCTTCCTGGGGCCTCTCAGAAATATTATAGTACATAGAATTTAATACTATATGGTAAACTGCTAAGGGTCAGGTTTTTTTGAACAAGCAATACACACAAAATGTTAATAACTCTTGAAAAAAGTGTCTTCAGAGTATAGACTGTTGATTTTATGCCACCTCTTGAAAAATATACTCATGTTTTCCCTGACTTCTTAAAAGATTGAGCAACCACTGTTTTTAGGTGGTCATTACCTCTGAAGTCCTTCATATCTTTTCACCTGGCTTGTTGAAACATTTTATATATAGGGCAATCATCTCTTTACCTATTTAGATTTATTACGTGAAATTGCTTACTGGAAGAATACCAGTAACAGGATACAAGAAGTCATCAGGATATGCTTCAGAATGTGAAGTTTAATTCTGAAGGCCTGCCATTCATTTTGTTTTCCATTTTGGAAAGTACTAGAATTTGAACTAAGAGCCCAGTGCTTTCTAGCCTGGAGCTGTCTTGCTTGATCCATACCTCCAGCCCTGTTTGTCACCAGGTATTTTTGAGATTAGGGTCTCACTTCGCACCTAGAAGTGCTTAAGGGCCAATATCTACCTGCTTGTAGGCTTCCCATTATTGCCAGGATCACAGGCACACATTGTGTACAGGTTTCCTCAGTGGATACAGTCTTGTATATTGGTTTGCTTAGGTAAGCCAGATACTCTGATGCTTCCCGTCACAGCCTCCTTCGTAAGACAATAACAGGCTAATAAGACGTTTTGGGGAGTTTTTTTGGTCTGCCATTGGGCCTGAGCCCAGGGAGTAGGTACAGTCCCTGAGCTCCTTTGCTCAAGGCTAATGTTCTTCATTTGAGCCACAGATGGACTTCTGGTTTTTTGGTGGTTAATTGGAAATAATAGTCTCATGCTTTCCTGTCCAGGCAGATCTTAAACTGCAATCCTCAGATCTCATCCTCCTCAGTAGCTAGGAGAATAGGCATGAGCCACTAGCGCCTGGCTTTAACATGGTTTTGATGGTGATAAAATAATAGAACCTTTTAATAGTAACCTTGATGATAACTGTTTAGAAAAACAATTTGTATATCATTTTACTTTTACATACTTTGTTGTTATAAACTTCTTTATGAAAAGTATGGGCTTATCGGGATTTGAATGTTAGAGAAGAGGAATCACCATAGTTTTTTGCACCTGAGAATTTGTTTCCTGAAAATATTTAATTAGGCTACTCTAAGACTCCTAAGTGTTTTGAGCAAAAATATAACAGTTCTTATTGAGGTGTAGAAGATGGTCATTATTGAATAGATACTTTCTTATATGGCACAGGGAATCTCGTAATACTATTCCACATCCTATGAAAAATCCATAGTTCACTAAAGAAATATAAGACCTGGATTACAGTTATATCATATGAACTGAATTCCTCCTTTGGCCTAGTCTCCTTCAGTCTGACAACTGCCCATTTTATTTTTCATTATTTTATTATATTTTTTCATTATCTTTTATGTATTTTTCATTATTTTTTCATTATTCCACTACAGTAACTCCATACCTCCTATGTTAATCTTTAATTCTAAGCTACATCCTTTTTTTGTCCTGTTAAAATTTGTTTTTAGCCAGGCACCGGTGGCTCACACTTGTAATCCTAGCTATTGAGGAGGCTGAGATCTGAGGATCACAGTTCAAAGCCAGCCTGGGCAAGAAAGTCCATGAGACTC